TGCTTATTGTGTGTCTGTGTTCCGTGCTTCCTTTAGGGCTGCAGTGATGCAGCTGAGCTTGGTCACAGCTGTGATGTCTCAGGAGACCCTGTTCTGCGTAAGCAAGCAGAATCTGTGTGTCACCGACTGCTGGAAAACCCCTTCTCACATTGCCACTCTCGGGTGAGGCACCATTTATATTTCCCAAGTGGCATAAAAACCGTTTGCTTCTTCGATCAAATTTCTCTCAGAGCCAAGCCTCTTGTGTAATGAACTGCAAACAAAAGTGAATGATTTACTAGAAACCAGTTAAAACTGTTGGTTAAGAAATGGTTCACCCTTTAATAATAACAATATAATGTTTATTAGGAATTTCTGAATATTTGTTTCCATCCTGCCCACTATGCTCAACTGCAGGTACCCTCAGGCACATTCTCACTGGTTTTCAAATACTTGTAAGTCTTTCCCAAGTACTTAAATGCCTAGCAGCAAAAATTGAAACAAAGACAACTGCAGTTCAAACGACAACAATTGTCCACTAGGGGGAACATGGACAGGGAGGGCCTCCGCCACTGACCAGGAGTGGTCAGTTGGAGCAAGCCCAAGAATTTTGGTGGACGTGGGCCAGCACGTTGTCGCTATCACCCTGAGACCAGACCTGATACTCTGGTCCAATGCTGTTGATGAAGTGATTGAGAGGAAAAGGCTGCAGCATGCAGACATGGCATTTGAGGCAGAGCAACATGGCTGGAAAGCAATAGTTTGGCCTGTGGAGGTTTGCTGCAGGGGTTTCCTTGCAACATCCATAATCAGCTTGCTCAAAAATAATCTGGGGACCCACAGACAAGCCCCGTGCCAGACCATAAAAAGAACATCACAGACTGCAGAAAGCTGCAGCCAATGGCTCTGGATCAGGAGGAAAGATCCCAACACAGCCCCATGATGCTAGGGACATGCACCCAGGACTAATCAACCTGTGGTGGTCCTGCCTTAAAAGAGCGCGTCTTGGGATTAAAGGTCGCAACACCTGATGACACTGATCTACTGTTAGTTGATTATATTTATGACCCATTACCCATGCAGCCATTACTTATATCATAATGTAACAAATATTTGCATTGGTTGTTGATGTGTTTTGAAATTTCTCTGTGCCTGTTTGTTCTATTGATCACCCCACAGGAAAAATAATTCAGCTTTTTCCTCTCAGTAAACCTACTGTATCAATACTGCTGCTATCTAAAGCCACTTTGCAGGATTTGTATTTTTCTGACTTTGGAGGCTCTAGTCATTTGCCTCAGAAGAACCTTTGCATGTTATTTGATGCAGGTTTGCTGTTACAAGTGTTCAGTTTGTGTCTTTCAGTTGGACCCAGCAGCGTACATCGACACCTGTCTTTACCTCTTCTGCAGCCTGCCACCCAAAGACAGGGATGGGGCAGTTTGTGACACTCTGGCCAGCTACGCCAGAGAGTGCGCCCAACAACATGTCATCATAATTTGGAGGACCGACACCCTTTGTGGTGATGAAATATGATAAATTATACTATTGGTGCAGATGGTTGAGGCTTTAAAGTAGACAGACTATACTTGTCTCACAGTTTTTTTCTATTGTCTCTGTCTCTTCAGGTCGTGTCTGTGCCAGAGGTCAGGTGTTTTCAGACTGTGTGTCCTCCTGTCCCCCCAGCTGTTCATCTCCCCAGTCCCCAGGGCCAGCTGCAGCCGTTGGCCAGTGCAGGGAAGAGTGTGTGGGGGGCTGTGAGTGTCCGCCGGGCCTCTACCTTCACCAAGGACTCTGTCTGAAAAGAGACGATTGTCCTTGCTTCCATCGCAGGCGCACATACCAGTCAGGGGACAGGATACAGCAGAGATGCAACACATGGTGAGGGAGAAACGTGTGTTTGGTTGTTTCCTGCGCCTCTCTTACCTCCACCAACCCATCTTCTCTTGCCTCTCTTCCAGTGTTTGCAGAGCAGGCCAGTGGCAGTGTACTGGGGAGAAGTGCGCTGGCCAGTGCAGCCTGATGGGGGCGCTACAGGTGACCACCTTTGACAAAAAGAGGTATTCACTGCAGGGTGGAGACTGTCCCTTCACTGCTGTGGAGGTGAGACATAAGACACACACCATTCACACTTTTAGATTAACTATGACCTCACAGACAGTTGTGTATATGGTGGCCACTTCTGCTTTGTGTTCTCAGGACTTTGTTGACAGGAAGCTCGTGATGAAGGTGCGCTGTGGGGAGTGTACAGCAGGAAGAGGAGGAGGAGGCCTGGGTTGTCTGAGGGAGATGTCAGTCACAGCACTCCGCACCACAGTCACCATCACAGACACTGGTAAGTTAGATAAACACACTGATCTGAGATAAGGCATCTCCCTCCATCTGGGCCTGTCCTGGGTAACATGTCGGGCCTCTCCTCCTGTCAGACCCGTTTATTTCATCCTGGCCGTCACAGTTCGCCACAATCTTGTTTTGGCCCAACCTTGTTGTTTTCCAGATGGTGTCCATCTTGGGGGGTCTTTCATATGCTGTTCTGGTCACACCCAAGCCATAACCCCCGACATCTGACAACACTCTTAGGCTCAGTCCTTTTATTATTCATTTATAAATAGTTTGAAAATAAAACATTTTGAAATACATTTTGGATTGGGATGCTAAACATTCACCTCTCAAAAAACCTCTCTATTTTGTTTAGCAGCCAGTTTGGCCCAACAAAACAAGTTGGAAATACAGCCTTGAAAAATGGAATGATTCATTTATTGACATTTTGAGAAATATTTCATCTTATAAGATGAACTATTTTGATTTTCAATAATATACATTTTTTGTTAAATGTATTTGATTTTGGAAAATATTTCATCGAAAATGTTCAATTTAACACATGCACGTGCACACTGCACATTTAATTGTACGACAGTTATTGGCTTGGAGTTAGGGAACCGAACCCTAACTGCAAGAGGTCCTCCTTTTGAATGTGTTCACTGCCTTGTGATTATTTATGGTTGGTTCGGTTACTTCCAGGTACAGTGATGTTGAATGGTGTGAGAGAGGCATTACCTGTGGTGACAGCAGACCTGGTTGTGCGGAGGGCCTCCTCTTCATTTCTCCTCATCCAGACTTTTGGAGCCCAGCTGCTCTGGTATCTAGATGGACCCTTGGCCATTGTCATGTTGCAGCCCGGGTTTGCAAACAAGGTGTCCTTTACATTTCATATGGTTTATTCACTAGTGCCTTTATGGTACGAGTCAGGAGAATTTTGTTTTAAATTAGACTGTACTAAATTTAAATACAGGGTAGGGATGCAAAGTGGTTAGAATTTAAAATTTACAATGAAAAGAATATACAGTGTGTATTAAATTTTATATTCAAGGTGCGTGGCCTTTGTGGAACGCTGACCTGGAACCAGCATGATGATTTTACCACCCCAGAAGGAGACGTGGAGAACAGCGTGTCATCCTTTGCAGGGAAGTTTACATCAGAGCATTGTACTCTACCTGGAGGAGCTCCACCTGACCCCTGCACCACGTACACCCAGAGGAGATACTATGCAGAGACGGTGTGCTCCATCATTCACAGCCCCATCTTTCAGGTAGTGTTTACAGAGCATCTTTCATCTCCTGCTACGTCAGTGCTATCATCTATCTGCCCCTCTTTCTTTCACTCATGCACCTCTCTCGGTTATCTTGCAGGGGTGTCATGACGTGGTGGAGAGGGAGCCGTATTTCCGTCTCTGTCTGTCAGAGGTTTGCGGCTGCGCTCCACAGAAGGCCTGTCACTGCACCGTCCTCACTGCCTATGCACGGCACTGCGCCCAGGAGGGCGTTGCTGTCCAATGGCGCAACCACACCTTCTGCCGTAAGTAGGAAGGCCGAGGATGTCCATCACCATGGAGTCCACAGTGTCCACTGAAGTGTCACTTTACTAACATCACTACGAATACAATTTGACTGGACTTGCAAGAATTGATTTAACATCCAGGCTAGTGTTCAGACTGATCGCATACCTGAATGCCAACATGTGACTGTTCTCACAAACACGTTAAGGAAAGGAGGCTTGAATGTAATGGGATGTCTCTGCTGTTAAAAGTACAACAGCATCAGTGTGAGCTACAAAGCTTCAGTTGTAAAAAACCACATGCACTCTCATATGGAAACCACAAAGACGATTTCCCCCATCGGCAAACAAAGCTTTCTTCCTCCACTTTCTCCCCAGCGGTCCAGTGTTCAGGTGGTCAGGTCTACCAGGAGTGCGGTCGAGCATGTGGAGCCTCGTGTTCAGACCTGCGGCAGAGCTGGAGCTGCGATGACAGTGGCGGAGTGGGCCTTAAGATGTGCGTTCCAGGTTGCCAGTGCCCGCCGGGACTAGCACAGGACCACCAGAGCCAGTGTGTGCCCATCGCCATGTGCCCATGTGTGCAAGAGGACAAGACGTTCCAGCCCGGTGCTGTCATCCAGAACAACTGTAACTCCTGGTATGTTGAACAGAAGATACTCAACTACAATACTCCTGTATGTCATGTATTCATTTTGTCAAGTTTGTAGTTTGATTGTTTTCATTTTACTTTTATTAGTGTGAAATTTGTAGTTATATTTTTCAAATTGCAAATATTATGTTTCAGTTTGAAATTATTATAAATGATAGAAAATTTTGGATTTTTTTGTTGTTGCTTTTGTTGCAACTTAAAACAGCGTAGCTCAGCTTAGAACATCTTCTGACACTTGATATCTTTCACTTAGGTTAAATATTAACACTGCTGTACAGATACAGCAACTGAAGACAGATGGCACACTTAACCTGTCGAAAGGAAACATTATGGTGGAGGTCAATTCAGTGCAAGCTCTTACAGACCCAGATGCATGAATTATATTTTACAGCACACCCTAAAAAAGTACCTTCCTAATATGGTTATCTGCATGCTGCTTTTATCTTGTGGTAGATGTGATAAGAAATCAGAGAAGGTAAGCATGTTTTCTCCTCTCTCAGTAGAACACAGCTTTGATGCACCGACAATAAAACATTGGCACATGGGTATGGGTTTGGCTCTGGTATGTTTGAATGAGCTTCCATTACATGAAGTGACTAAAACTACTCAGATCATGTGCTGATAAATCTTCTCATCTCTGAAATAGACATTTCTTATGGAATACACAGTATATTTGTTTTTGAGGACAATATAAAGGTCAAGGGACGGTGACAAGATAGTGTTTGTGTTTACTTGTGTAAATGTCACACATTTAGCGTACGTTGGAGCCGAAGTCACAAAAGAGCACAGTACATTTATACTGATACATAATAATAATAAGTAATGAATAAATATGAATACAATAAGAATAATTATTGGATAAATAATCATTTATTTGACTGTTCTTTTTGTTTTTGATTGTATTAACATGTTAGTTAGGAAGTATTTCAAGATGATATCAATGAGAATAGTGTACTCTTAGCTTTCCTGCCGTGCCGTGTGTGTGACACCACATCACCCCACTGAGTCCTTGGTGGTGTAAGAGCTCTAATGAAATCTCTCTATGTTCCTGCTCCCTGCTACAGGATAGGTTGATTTCATTGCGTCTCTTCACCATAATACGACAATGTTCGTCACTCTCTACTCGCTATCGCAGAACAGATTGCTGAATGAATATGTGTCAATCCGATTTCACGCCTGTTTCCTGCCCTTCTACCCTGTACTGACCATTAGCCTGAGTTAATGGTTTATTTTGGATTAGATAATTATCACACTGATATCAAGTGTGACGTACCGTATCCATTCACTCTGAGTGACAATCCTTGGCAGCTGAATCTGGTGAAACGGTTTTCATCACACCTCCTGTTGCCTCATCATTTTATAGTTACTCTTTAGAGATTATATCAGTAAACTCTACTGACCCAGCAGATATTTTTTGTCTTGCTAAAGGGCAATTTA